GGCCAGTGTTATTTTTAAGAGCCTCTCTGTTTAGTACTGTAATACTACTAGTAATATTAACATTCATATTAACACCACGATTGTTATTTGAGCTTCTATTTGTGACAGGTGTGTGACATACTATATTAGTATATACCACAGTAGTAGATGTGCAGTATACATAATTGGTCCCATCAACCTGGCAAGATTAATGTCATTGCTAATAATATCATACTACTATATTTATGTATTATTAACTATTATAACTTGATCTACAGACAAGGAATCTGAGGCTCTGAGATACTCAGTTACTCCTTGCCTGTGTTCACAGCCAGGAAATGGCACAACCAGCCACTGAGTTTTCAAAGCTTCCTCCTCACCCACCCGCAAGAACTCTTAGTCCCGTTTTTGGATTATATAATAACAATGCTAACCAAGATTCTCCCAGCTGAGGAACTCCATCCTTTGGCTTTTCTGCCAAGGTGACTAATGGGAGGTTTTCTGGCTCTGAAGGAGACCCCGGTGCTCTGAGACACCCTGGATGGACCTTGCATCTCTCTGTCTGAGGGCCGGGCTCCCCTTCATTGCTGCTCTGGGGCTTCAGGTCATCCCGCTCCCACTCCAGTCCTGTGATGCTGTGAGGGCTTTTCTCCTATGAGTTTTGGTGAAGTTCTTTCTCAGAGGAGGAGATTTGGGAAGGAGAGGGCTTGGTCTGTTTCCTGTGCTGTAGGTAGGTTTGAAATATACTTTGGGCAGACACTGAGTCCCCAAATCAACATCACCCACTTGTGCACTTGACAGGATTGGTTTAAGAAGAACCAAAGTGCTGAAGTCTCCTTGATACTAGGGTTCAACAACTGCATGAGGCTTTGACTGCTTGTTTTTCTTTTTTTAAGCCCTTTGAGCACCTTGCTTCTTCCTCCCCAGCTAGCTGGGTAAGACAATAACTCTTATCTCCATGTACGCACAGGCAGCTTGAGTGGCTCAAATAGGGTAAGTGACTACACCAAAGTCCCTCTGCCAGTTGGGCCTGGAACTGTGACTTGAGGTTGTAGAACCTTAGGACGCCAGGACTGGAAGTGACGCCATCTACAGACGAGGCAAGAATAGCAACGGCAGCAAGAATAGCAGATGAGGCAAGAATAGCAACGGCAGCAAACACAACAGCAACCGAGACTCCTAAAGCGCATCTTATGTGCCAAACTCTGTTCTGACTCACTCAGTCCATCTACCAGCCTTATGAGGATATCACTACTATCCTCATTTTACAATTGAGAAAACCGAGCCTCAGAGAGGTCAAATCATGGGGCTGGGGCTACAGACTAGCAAGTAACAAAGCTGGAGTCCAGACCTAGCTGTTCTGGCTAAACAATATACTACTAAACAACCAATGGATCACTGAAGAAATCAAAGAGGAAATAAAAAAATACCTAGAGACAAAAGACAATGAAAACATGATCATCCAAAACCTATGGGACGCAGCAAAAGCAGTTCTAAGAGGAAAGTCTATAGAAATACAATCTTACCTCAGGAAACAAGAAACATCACAAATAAACACCTAAACTTACACCCAAAACAACTAGAGAATGACAAACAAAACCCAAAGTTAGTAGAAGGAAGGAAATCTTAAACATCAGAGCAGAAACAAATGAAATAGAGATGAAGAAAACAGTAGAAAAAGATCAATGAAACTAAAAGCTGGCTCTTTGAAAGATAAAATTGATAAACCTTTAGTGAGACTCATCAAGAAAAAAAGGGAGAGGGCTCGTATCAATAAAATTAGAAATGGAAAAGGAGAAGTTACAACGGACACCACAGAAATACAAAGGATTGTATGAGATCACTATACACCAATAAAATGGACAACCTGGAAGAAATGGACAAATTCTCAGAAAGGTATAACCTTCCAAGACCCAACCAGGAAGAAATAGAAAATATGAACAGAACAATCACAAGTACTGAAATCGAAACTGTGATTAAAAATTTCCAACAAACCAAAGTCCAGGACCAGATGGCTTCACAATCGAATTCTTTCAAACATTTAGAGAAGAATTAACACCTATCCTTCTGAAACTATTTCAAAACATTGCAAGGAAGGAACACTCCCAAACTCATTCTATGAGGCCACCATCACCCTGATACCAAAACCAGACAAAGTTACCACACATGAAAAAAATTACAGGCCAATATCATTGATGAACATAGATGCAAAAACCCTCAACAAAACACTAGCAAACCAAATCCAACGATACACTAAAAGGATTGTGCACCCTTATCAAGTGGGGTTTATCCCAGGGATGCAAGGATTTTTCAATATCCACAAATCATTGTGATACACTACATCGAAAAATTGAAGGATAAAAACCATATGATTATCTCAATAGATGCAGAAAAAGCTTTTGACAAAATTCAACACCCACTTATGATAAAAACTCTCCAGAAAGTGGGCATAGAGGGCACCTACCTCAACCTAATAAAGGCCATATATGACAAACCCACAGCAAACAACATTCTCATTGGTGAAAAGCTGAAAGCATTTCCTCTAAGGTCAGCAACAAGACAAGGATGTCCAGTCTTGCCACTTTTATTCAACATAGTCTTGGAAGTCCTAGCCATGGCAATCAGAGAAGGAAAAGAAATAATAGGAATCCAAATTGGAAAAGAAATGTAAAACTGTCACTGTTTGCAGATGACATGATACTATATATAGACAATCCTAAAGATGCTACCAGAAAACTACTAGAGCTCATCAGTGATAAAGTTGCAGGTTACAAAATTAACGCACAGAAATCACTTGTATTTCTGTACACTAACAACAAGAGATCAGAAAGAAATTAAGGAAACAATCCCACTTACCATCGCATCAAAAAGAATAAAATACCTAGGAATAAACCTACCTAAGGAGGAAAAAGACCTGTACTCTGAAAACTATAAGATGCTGATGAAAGTAATTAAAGATGATACCAACAGATGGAGAGATATATACCATGTTCTTGGATTGGAAGAATCAATATTGTCAAATGACTGTACTACCCAAGGCAATCTACAGATTCAATGCAATCCCTATCAAATTACCAATGGCATTTTTCACAGAACTAGACCACAAAATTTTATAATTTGTATTGAAACACAGAAGACCCCATATAGCCAAAGCTATTTGAAAAAGAAAGAGCTGGAGGAATCAGGCTCTCTGACTGCAGACTATGCTACAAAGCTACAGTTGCCAAAATACTATGGTACTGGCACAAAAATAGAAATATAGATCAAAGGAATAGGCTAGAAAGCCCAGAAATAAACCCACACACCTATGGTCAGTTAATCTATGACAAAAGAGGCAAGAGCATACAGTGGAGAAAAGACAGTCTCTTCAATAAGATAAGTGGTGCTGGGAAAACTGGACAGCTACATGTAAAAAAATGAAACTAGAACATTCTTTAACGCCATACACAAAAATAAACTCAAAATGGTCTAAAGACTTAATATAAGACATGACAGCATAAAACTCCTAGAAGAGAACATAGGCAAAACATTCTCTGACATATATCATACCAATGTTTTCTTTCAGTCTCCCAAGGCAATAGAAATAAAAGCAAAAATAAACAAATGGGACCTAAAGGAAACCATAAACAAAATGAAAAGGCAACTTACATACTGGGAGGAAATACTTACAAACAAAGCGACCTACAGGAGATTAATCTCCAAAATATACAAATAGCTCACGCCGCTCAATATAAAACAAACCAACCAACCAGTCAAAAAATTGGCAGATCTAAATAGACATTTCTCCAAAGAAGACATATGGATGGCCAAAAAGCACATGAAAATATGCTCAACATCACTAACTGTAAGAGGAATGCAAATCAAAACTACAATGAGGTATCACCTCACACTGGTCAGGATGGCCATCAGCAAAATACCTACAAACAACAAATGCTGGAGAGGGTGTGGATAAAAGGGAACCCTCTTGCACTGTTGGTGGGAATGTAAATTGATACAGCCACTGTGGAGGTTTCTTAAAAAACTAAAAACAGCTACCATGTGATCCAGCAATCCCACTCCTGGGCATATATCTGGAGAAAACCATAATTTGAAAGGATATACGTACCCCGGTGTTCACTGCAGCACTATTTACAATAGCCAAGACATGGAAGCAACCCAAATGTTCACTGACAGAAGAATGGATGAAGAAGATGTGGTACATGTATACAATGGAATATTACTCAGCCATAAGAAAGAATGATATAATGCCATTTGTAGCAACGTGGACCTAGAGATTGTCATACTGAGTGAGAAAAGTCAGAGAAAGACAAAGATCATATGATATCACTTATGTGGAACTAAAAAATGATATAAATGAACTTACAAAATAGAAACAGACTCACGGACTTTGTAAACAAACTCATGGTTACCAAAGGGGAAAGGTTGGGGGAGGGATAAATTAGGAGTTTGGGATTAACATATACACACTATATAAAATAGGTAATATAAAATATATAATCAACAAGAACCTACTGTATAGCACGGGGAACTCTACTCAATAATCAGTAATAACATTATTACTGTTATCACTAATAGCATATATGGGAAAAGAATCTGAAAAGGAATGGGTATATGTATATGTATAACTGAATCACTTTGCTATACCCCTGAAACTAACGCAACACTATAAATCAAGTATACTCTTATATAAAACAAAAATTAAATTGAAAAAGGAATAATCCAATTGAAACTGTATTAATCCTTAAAAAAAAAAAAAAAATGCAAGGTTCCTGACCTCCAAGACAATACTTATGAGCAGGCCCTTTGCAGAAGAAGTTTGCAGAGCCCCGATTTAGACCGTAAGCCTCATGAGAGTGGGGACCACGTGTGTCTAGATCTCTGCTCTATACCCAGTGCCTGATAATGTTCCCGACACAGCAGATGTTCAATAATTATTTGAACAAACTAAGTACATCTTGGTGGTTCTATTGTCCTCACATGCATCCTGGAGTTTTAACGTGAAAATGTGTTTCCTTCCACAGGTCGTGTTAGGACCTTGTGCGTTTCCACTTGCTCTGCCTGGCTGGAATCTCTGCACCCCGGGGAGACCGTATTGAACCCCATGACGGCATCGCTGAGACTGGGCGCCTGTTTTTCCTCCCAAGAAGCCACAGTGCCGTAATTAACTCACTGTTCACATTTCAGAGCAGACAGGGTTTTAATCCCCTCGGAAATTGGTTTCGGACATGGAAGTTATAGTTCTCCACCCTCTAATTGCAAAGGGGAGATAACAGGGCATCAGTATCGCCATTTCGATCCCGGTGTCGAGCTGGAAATAAATATCATTTAAGCTCTGAAAGCATGGCTGGCTGGAAACGTTTCCTTTTCTATTTCACAGATTTAATGCAGAGAAGAGGCTGTGCTTATTCAAAAAAACGATTCTCTTGGAGGCAAGGAAAAAACATTAAAGGGGGGCATTTTGAATTCTAACTACACAGTCTTTCTGGTCAAATAGAGACTTGTTTGCATGGGCTTGCTGAAATAATGGTACCATCTTTACATATACATTGAACTTTGCACAGAAATGCCTATTCCCAAGTCAGGGTAACTGTGACTTTCCTGAAAGCAGGCCTGGGAGAATGGAGTGAGAGGAAAAAATATATGCCATTTTGTAGCTGCTACTTGGCTACTGTGTTTCGCTTCCATCACTCTGGTCTTAATCCTCCCTTTTTCCTTATGCAAAAAGGAATTGGATTCTATTTGGAGTCTCTTGGGGATTATTCAAAGGTCCTCAAGCTAGATAATGAAAAGCGCAGGCCCTGTTCTCTCCCTTAGTACAGCAGTGCTCTGACTTCTTCCTATGCCCATTGTTAATCGAGGGCTTTGCAAACAAGAGCCTCTGACAGTTTTAATACCTCAGTTGGTGTGTGCCTGCTTTGGGCCCTTATCAACAAGACAAAAACACACGTATCTTTCAGAGAAACAATCATACCTTCAAATGATTGTATAGTGCTCCGTGCCATCCAGAGCTCTGATGCTAAAACCTCTCGATAATACTTCTAGGGACAGAGAGAGTCCTATTCTCCCCACATTATGGATGAGGAAACCAAGGCTCAGAGAGTTGAAGTAACTCTTTCAAGTTTACAAAGCATACTAGAGTCAGGCAAGACTAAAACCCAGATGATCACCCTGCTCTAAACATTTTTGCTAATGTATATTTTATTTAGAAGTCCTTGTTGGGAATGCTGGTGATGTTGAAGTGATACACAGGGTCTTGGGTGGAAACCTTCCCCTTCACTCTCCTGAGGGTCAGGGTTCTGCTCTTGCCTATCCGGGTGACTCTATCTGGGGAGGAAACCTAAGCTCCAAGTTAGGCGAGTTGTTCTTCAAATCCTTCTTCCTTGCAGTCAGAAAAGAAATCTCATTTATGGAGGCCCTCTAAGAGTTACGACAGCAGCAACAATGATAAAAAGAAGAATGGCTAACTTTATAGGGTGATCACTCAGCGCTAATCACTTTCCACACAAGCTGTCAGTTCATCCCTGTGGCAAGTGTGCGAGAAAGGTACTATTACCATCCCCGTTTTAGAGATGAGGAAACTTAAGGTGTGAAGCCATTACCAAATACAGGAGCCTCAGTTTGAACCTGATCTGACTCCAGAGTGCTCACGCTGCCTCCTACGTGCCAGGTGCGTGCCAGACAGTACTGCCAATGTTGAAGATCATCTCACCAAATAGTACTAGCCCCATTTTATCAAAGACGAAATTGAGGCTCAGAGAACTGAATTATCTTGCCCGAGGTCACTGAGCTAGTCAGGGACAGTTTCAGGATTCAAAATCCAGATTAGCCTGACTTATTTCCTTACATAGAGATGCTTCGTCTATTTCAGCGGGGAGAGCTGGCTGTCCCCTGGCCAGGACTCCCAAGGCTCGGGTGGGAGGTTACCGCAGGGCTACTCACCACGTTCTTGTAGAAGTAGTACGCCACCATCCTGGCCAGGCGTGAGTAACACCAGTGTCCGTGCACAAGCAGCAGCTTCTTGAGGTGTCTGAAGTGGGAGATGGCAAAGTCGCTGGACATGACGGCCTGAGAGGGCAGAGCAGACACATCAGCTTCCATTCTGCTGCCAGTGCACCAAAGAGGCTCCCTTGAGGGTGCTGCTCTGTTCCGCGTCCATAGCCGGTAGGGTCTAAAAGACCCTTTGTCACGTGTAGCACCCTTGGGTGGCTTTATGGACTCTGACACCCCACCCTCTCCTCTGGGAAATGCAAATCCCACTAGAATCCAAGGAGGGCAGGTCAGAAGGGACCAGTGGTCTGGCCTGGCCCTTCACCTCCTTCCACTTATCCAATAAGCATTTATTGTGAACCAGTGTGTGTTGGGCACCATCTAGGGATGTGGTGGTTGACCAGAGAGTAGGGGCTTCCATGCGAGTGATCCTCAAACCTCTCAACGCCCTTGGCCACCCACCAAGGCCGGCCGTTTGCTCCAGTCTCATGCGGAGCTGATGGATGGATAGCTCTTCCTTTCCATGGAGCTGAAATATGTCTTTTGCCCTTGGGATGACTCAGAAACAAGGCCCAGTTCATAGTAATTTTTTAGAGTATGAGGTTTGGACGTGCCTGGTTATAAATCCTGGTCCGAGTCTTGGTCAGGGCATTTAACCGCTCTCAGCCTCAGTTTCCTCATCTGAAAAAGTGGAATAACAGTCCCTAACACACAGGGTGGTGGCTGCTGAAATTAACTGGGATAATAAGTGTGAAGTGCGAATAGAGTGCTGGCCTACGATAGACACTCAAAAGGTGACGGTGTTCGATCCTCCCCACCAACAAATTTAGGCACCACCTAACGTCTGCACTGGTGGTGGGAATACAGTTGTTAATGGTTCAGAACCCCAAGGTGGGGTCTGTCTTAATGGGAAACATTAGCAGCTCCAGTTAGTATGTTTGTTCCAAGCTGAATCTGACTAATTTTGGTACACTTTTAAGGTATACCAAGCAACTTACAGGTCCGTCTAGCCATCACGACTCAAATGGCAATTGAAAAATATTTTCTGATGTCCTTACAGCTGTCACTGCTCACAGAGGGCACTGCAAACTTGGATGTGGGTGGAGGTTACAGGGAGGAAGCATGGAATCAGGAAGGCTTTGTTTTCCCTGAATGGTTAGGTACTATTTGGCTTTAGAATATGGGTATCGCCAGCTGTCTATAAGAAGCCAAGCATCTTTGATCACTCTCTTTATTCTGAAGGACTGGGCAGTAGGGATGCGGTGATGGAGGTTATGTATAGGCAAGGATATCTGTCTTTCAGATGATAATTCTGCAAAGCTCTTCAGTATAAATTCCTCCAAGACTGTGGGGAATTGCTTAACTCACTAATAAGGATAATGGAGAGTAAGAAAGTAACAAGTAGAGTTGAAGCAAATGATACCTGCATGCCTTCCTGTCCAGATATTCCAATCCCAATATCAGCAGCTTGAATCATGCTTACGTCATTTGCTCCATCACCTGAAAGGAGAGAGGTCATGAGATCCTGGTCCAACTGCTATGTGACAATGAGAAGTTTTATACAAGCGGCACTAAATCGTCCCTATTTTATGCACAAGTGAATCCTTTTAGTGTTGCTCTGAATAGTCCTATAGGAAGAGTCATTGCTACAGGACTTTAGCCTGAGAGATCTTTTCTTCTTTGGACAAGAAGCCCTACTCTTTCTTTATCATTTACCAAATACTTATTGTGTCCTTTTTTTAGGTACAATGTTAGGTATTGGGAATACAATGGTATGTGAGCCTTGGGCAGTGCTTTACAGTTTGCCAAAAAGGCCTTCTCAGGTGTTACAGTGGGCTTCACTGAGAAGCAGATGGAGAATTTGAGCAACACAGGGGCTCGGCAAGGGTAATCCAGGTAGTGAAGGGACCCGGAAGCCCTGGAACTAAGATCTTTCTGTTTCCACGGCCAGCAAACCTCCCCTCACTCAGTATAACTTACACTGACCATATCAAGACAACTGGAATGCTGGACAGCTAACTCATCAGAGATTGTCAGTGGTGTCCAAGGACAGAGACAATGTTCAGTGATGTTTCTAAATAGAGGAACATGGGATTGACTCATTTTTTAGGTTGAGGTACATTGAGTCACTTTGGGTTCCCAGTCAATGAATCAGTTGATTCAGGGAACTGGAGGTTAGGGCATGGAAATACATACACACACATGCCACCTTTTATACCAGCACCGTCAAACAGATTTTCCTGTGATAGAAATGTCCTATATCTTTACTGTCCAATTTGAAAACCATTAGCCCCCTGTGACTACTGAAATGTGGCCGGTGAATTTCTATTTAAGTTTAACTTTAAATAGCCACATATAACAGGTGGCAACCATGTTGGACGGCACAGCTCTCAACAGTGAGGTCTTCCTCACGAGCCTGGCTTTTCCAGACTATGATGCCTTATCCATCAGACTAGAGTTTAGCAAACTTTTTCTGTAAAGGGCCAGATAGTAAATATTTTAGGCTTTGTGGGCCAAGAAGCAAAACTGAGCAACTGTTCCTGCTGAGAGGCAAATCGTTTTTACACATTTTACTATTAAAAACACGAAAACCATTCTTAGCATCTCTACAGAAATATGCAGTGGGCCAGTCTCAGCTTGAGGGCCATGAGTTGTAGACTGAACTGGCTTCATCCTTCTCCTTCTCCTGGCGCCACCTGTTTCTCCAGTGGGTTCTCATAATGATCTGCAAGTCAATTTATATGAGATACTAGAGAGAATATGGATTTGGGGGAGAAAATTTCCTTCTCCTAATTATCTGGCAACAAAATTCATTAAGCTCAAAAATTGTGTCAGTGTAAGTTGCTGTTATTCTTCTAACGATGATTTTTTTTCTCCTTGATAGCACAGCAGTGCATGATTTTCATCTTCCCCATGGCAGAACAAATCCACCCTTTAACCTCTTCTGTTTGCAAGGCAGTGGAAGCAGAGGTATGGAATCCCGCTATTTCTTGCCCTGCTGGTTTTGTTTCTGCTGCTGTGGCAGTGAAGCCAGTCCCTTACCTCTGGGAATCAATCCCGGGCTATTGCCTTGAAGTTTGGAAGAGGACAGTTCAGGGAATACAATTAGGATGCAGTTGCTAAAGCTCTGCTGCCTCTATTCTTTCTGCCCACTCCCTCTTTTTTTTCTGGTTTTGAACTGCTTTTACCTGAAGACCAGGAGAAAAGGAAAAAAAAAAAAAAAAAAAACCCCACCCACCAATGTAAAGTAGGCCCCTTATTTGAAATGCCAGGAAAGAAAATCTCTTTCCATGTCTTTGCAGGAGGAAGAGAACCTGAACCATCTGTAAGAATGTCCTCACACAAAAGCAACGTTTACCATGTGCTTGGTATGCGCTGGGCACGGGATGGAACTGAGTAAGACTGACATTGCCCCTCCACTCAGGAAACTTCTGGTCTCCTGAGCAGCCCAGCACTGAAGGCGTAACAGTGCTGTGGAGCCCTGTGGGAGCCCACGGAGTAAAGGAACATTAGGCGGGATTGGAGGAGGTTTTACAGAGGAAACGGCTTGAGCAAAGGTCAGGAAGCGAGAGAGGACGAGGCTCCTGGAGAATGGTAAGCAGCTTCATGTGACTGGGACATGGACTGCTGAATGTTGTGGGGAGGAAGGTGGCTGGACAGATAATGGAGCCCAGATCGTGAAGGTTCTTGTAAACCAGCTTTGGTTGTTCCTGGAAGGTTTGAAGTAAGGACACTTCATTTCTCTGCCTCAACCATGGCTAAAATTTAATCCCCTATGAGAAATTCTTCAACAACCAACAAGCCAGCGTTTACTGAGGGTATGCTTTGTGTAGAGTCTTATATTTAGAAATGAATATACAACACTAAACGTGGGACAAGCTTCACTTTTTAGACCTCCCCACCAGCCGTCAACACTCGACAGAATATCAAGTCCACAGGCACCTGAGGTGCGTGGTATTGTGCCATGTGTTAAGTATTGAAGGGCACATGGTCGGCATCCCAGAAGTGAGTGGGCCTGGATGTATATTGAGCTACCTGGATATTCTGAACTTGAGGCCCCTCTTGCCTTTGGCCTCCATCCAAGTCCTTAGCAGACCTGCTCATCCTGAGAACTCGGATTTGCTCGCCCACCCTGCTTAGCTGCTGCTCACCTGCTGACTGCCACATCTTGATTGTCACGTTGAACTCTCTCCCTCTAAGACAACGACCCTCAGCTTGAGCATCCTGACGGTGATACGTGACCCCTCACCTCTGGTCCAGAGTGGGCTTGCCCAGCGTCCCCCCCACATCTCCGCATGATGGGTACCTATGGAAAGGGTCATGGCTCTCAGCCTGTCTCGCACCAGCTTGACGAGCATACTCTTCTGGAGTGGGGTGGAGCGGCAGCACAGGACAGACCGGCAATACTGGGTCAACTCCAGAAATTTCTCCTCCAGTTTTCCCTGGAAAATGGCATTCAACGTCTTCCCATCGATGACCAATCCAACCTCTGGAACTGCAGCTCCTGAGGTGGGGGGTGGCGTCGCAGAAGGTAGGCGGAAGAACCCAGAGAGCTTGTGGTCCGGCTTCTGTGGTCCATGAAGTTGCTTTACCTCTTCCAATACCAAGTTGAGGATGGATTCACAGGTTTCCTATAAAGAGCAGAATAATGAATGTGGTGTCAGTAAGCAACATTAGAAACAGGTTAAAAATGTCACTTTATCCTTTAGTTAAAGAGTTATAAAACTCTACCCCCATAGAGATGACCCGGGATTTCACTTTCTGATTTTGACATTTCTCTGCAATATTTCAAACAGCATCAAAGCAATAGTAATTTGGAAACAAATTAATGGCCAAAATAGGAGAGACAGCTTGGGAATGGGAGTGGAGATAGCACAGCAAGATGCGGGCCTTTTACAGGGATGACAGAATGTAGTAAATGATACTGATACGATGGCAAATGATGACAATGTGTCATGCTGGTACCCTACTTTCCATTTCTCACAAGTCATTTCTGTTCTCCTTTGTTCCTCAGAACATTCCTGTGTGGTAGGTAGGGTGAGTATTACTGACTTTAGTTTCGAGATGAGGAAACTGAAACAGTGAAATCCTTAGTAACTTGCCCAAGGTCATCTCGAATTGTGGCTTCTTAACTGAAAAAATACATTGCGTGTTTATCCGTTTGTATAAATGTACTGGTCGTACTGGTTAAAACTGACTATGTGGGCTTCCCTGGTGGCGCAGTGGTTGAGAGTCTGCCTGCCGATGCAGGGGACATGGGTTTGTGCCCTAGTCCGGGAGGATCCCACATGCCACGGAGCGGCTGGGCCCGTGAGCCATGGCCACTGAGCCTGCGTGTCCGGAGCCTGTGCTCCGCAACGGGAGAGGCCACAACAGTGAGAGGCCTGTGTACCGCAAAAAACAAAAAAAAACTGACCATGTATGTGAGTCTTATTGAGTTTTTCTGATGTTTACCTTGAAACATGGTGAAGAAATTATTTCCTCTTATCAATTCTCCTCCATTACTTTTGATTGTATCAAAGATAAAGACAGATCTTGGATCTAAAGATATCCTTAATACCTCTTTCACTTGTTTAAACATCACTTTTAAATAAAGATAGAGAAAAGTGGTGGCAGTCAGCTGTATTATCAATTTTAATTTCGTTGTTCTGTTCACGGGGTCTTCATTTAGCAGTGTTCTTTTATCCGTGGCAAGGGATGATGATTTTTCATTTACTTTAGTGCTAAAAATTCTTCTAAAAATAAGTTTTGAAAAGTTCAAAGTGAGTCTATTTAAATGAAATCATTAAATAAACAACTGTATAGATAATATGTGGATTTAGGCAAAAATCGTGAAGGTTGTTCTGAAATGACAAGTTTGGAGACCCCTGATCTAGAAGCTTCTGAGAATATTTGGAATAATTGCTTCTGGAGTGAGTAGGACTGCAGCGCATTATTCTGGAGGCTTCCTTTAGGGGATGCTAAACTGAGCACTGCAAGCAAGAGGATGTGCACGGGACCTAGCGGGGCCACAGGAAGTAGCTCAGGAGCAGGTGGTTATACCCGAAGCACTTTTCTGGGAAAGAGATCAAGGTAGTCCTTGCTGGAACTTGGGGTTGGCACACAGTATATACAGGCATACCTTGGAGATATTGTGGGTTTGGTTCCAGACCACTGCAATAAAGTGAATAGTGCAATAAAGTGAGTCACATGAGATTTTTGGTTTCCCAGGACATATAAAAGTTATCTTTAGTAAGTATACAATAACATTATGTCTGAAAAAACTGTACATATATTAAAATACTTATGGCTAAAAAGTGCTATCATCTGAGCCTTCAGCAAGTTGTAAGCCTTTTGCTGGGGGAGGGTCTTGCCTCGATGTCCATGGCTGCTGACTGATCTGGTGGTGGTTGCTAAGGCTGGGGTAGCTGAGGCCATTTCTTAAAATAAGACAACAATGAAGTGTGCCACATCGATGGACTCTTACTTTCATGAAGGATTTCTGTGTAGCCTGCAATGCTGTTTGGTGGCATTTTACCCACAGTAGAACTTTCTAAATTGGAGTCAATCCTCTCAAACCCTGCTGCTGCTTTATCAACTGAATTTATGTAATATGCTAAATCCTTTGTTGTCATTTCAACAGTCTTCACAGCATCTTCACCAGGAGTAGACTCCTTCTCAAGAAACCACTTTCTTTGCTCATCCATAAGAAGCAACGCCTCAACTATTAAAGTTTTATCATGAGACTGCAGCAATTCAGTCACATCTTCAGGCTCCACCTCTAATGCCAGTTCTCTTGCCATTGCCACCACATCTGCAGTGACTCCCTGCACTGAAGACTTGAACCCCTCAAAGTCATCCATGAGGGTTAGAATCAGCTTCTTCTAAACTCCTGGTAGTGTTGGTATTTTGTCCTCTTCCCATGAGTCACAAGTGTTCGTAATAGCATCTAGAATGGTGAATCCTTTCCATAGGTTTTCAATTTATTTTGCCCACAACCAGCAGAGGAATCACTGCCTATGGCAGTTATAACCTAATGGAATATATTTCTTAAATAATGACTTGAAAGTTGAAGTTCCTCCTTGATCCATGGGCTGTAGAATGGATGTCATGTTATCAGGCATGAAAACAACATTAATCTCACTGTACATCTCCATCAGAGCTCTCAGGTGACCAGGTGCATTGTCAGTGAGCAGTAATATTTTGAAAGGAATCTTTTTTTCTGAGCAGTAGTAGGTCTCAGCAGTGGGCTTAAAATATTCATTAAACCATGCTGTAAACAGTTATGCTGTCATCCAGGTTTTGTTATTCCATTTATAGAACACTGGCAGAGTAGATTTTAGCATAATTCTTAAAGGTCCTAGGATTTTCATAATGGTCAGTGAGCATCGGCTTCAACTTAAAGTCACCAGCTGATTAGCCCCTAACAGAGTCAGCCTGTCCCTTGAAGCTTTGAAGCCGGGCACTGACTTCTCTCTAGCCATAAAAGTCCTAGACTGCATCTGCTTCCAATATAACACTGTTTTCTCTACATTGAAAATTTGTCGTTTGGTGTAGCCGCCTTCATTAATGATCTTAGATCTTCTGCATAACTTGCTGCAGCCTCTACATCAGTACTTGCTGCTTCACCTTGTACTTTTATGTGACGGAGATGTCTTCTTTCCTCAATCCTCATGAACCAACATCTGCTAGCTACAAACTTTTCTTCTTCAGCTTCCTCACCTCTCTCAGCCTTCATGGAATTGAAGAGAGTTAGGGCCTTGCTCTGGACTAGGCTTTGGCTTAAAGGCATGTTGTGGCTGGCTTGATCTTCTATCCAGAACACTAGAACTTTCTCTGTATCAGCAGCAAGGCTGATTCACTTTCTTATCATTCATGTGTTTATCGGAGTAGCACTTTTAATCTCCTTCAAGAATTTTTCCTTTGCATTCACAACTTAGCTAACTGGCACAAGACACCTAGCTTTTGGTCTGTCCCAGCTTTCAACATGCCTTCTTTACTAAGCTTAATCATTTCTAGCTTTTGGTTTAAAGCTAGAATTTCTAGCTTTTGGTTAAAAGCTAGAGATATGCAACCCTTCCTCTCAAACACTTGGAGGCCATTGTAGGGTTATTAATTGACCTAATTTTGATATTGTTGTGTCTCAGGGAATAGGGAAGCCTGAGGAGAGTGGGGGGAGATGGAGCAACCCGTTCGTGGAGCAGTCAGAACACCGACAACATTTATCAGTTAGGTTCGCTATGTTATATGGGTGCAGTTCGTGGTACCCTAAAACATCAAAGAACACTAGACACAGATCACCGTAACAAATACAGTAATAATAAAGAAGTTTGAAATACTGCGAGAGTTACCAAAATGTGACCCAGAGACCCAGAATGATCAGATGCTTTTGGAAAGATGGCGCCAACAGACTTGTTCAATGCAGGGTTGCCACGAAACTTCAATTTGTAAAAAACAGTATCTGCAAAGTGCAATGAAGTGCAATAAAATGAGGTATGCTGTCAATTCCTCCAACATGTGACTGCAGCAAGTCATGGGAAATATAAGCTTCAAAATAAAATCTCTGAATTTACTTATTTCAAATTTTCTATGTAATAATCGTAATCGTTACCATTCATTTAACATTCAGTATCCATCAGGTGCTGAGGCAGGCAGCCTCTAAGATGGTTCTCAGTGATCTCCATCTCCTGGTATTCATGTCCTTCCTTGTGTAACCTCCAACCCTTGAGTGTGGTTATGACTAATGACTCCTTTCTAATGAAGAGAATTCTGCAAAAGTGATGGGATGGCGCTTCCCAGGTCAGTTTATCTAAAGACTGTGGCTACCAATCTTGGCAATCTTTCTCACTCTCTCTCTTGAATGGCTTACCCTGGAGAAAACCAGCTGTCACGTTGTGAAGCAGCTCAGTAGAGGGGCCCCTGTGGTGAGGAACCCAAGCCTGTCAATAATCATGTCTGTGAGCTTGCAGGGACTCCTCTCCATCACCAAATGACCCAACCAGTTGAGCCTTTAGATGAGCTCACATCCCTGACCGAGAGCCTGACTGCAACCCCAGGAGAGACCTTGAACCAGAGGTACCCAGCTAAGCTGCTCCTGGACTCATAACCCACACATACTGTGGGATGATAAATGTTTACTGTTTTCAGCTGCTAAGTTTTCGGGTAATTTGTTAACTCATATAAATGCAGTGCTAGTAAGTATTGTTCTTCTGTGAACTTATTTAACCCTCCCAATAGCCTCTGAA